GAGCTGTTCTTGGTGAACTCTTCCTTCCATTGCTAAAATTCAGAAGGGAAAATATGAAAACAAAATAAAACACCTTTGTCATGCTGCAGGTTAATGGTTTGCAATACTTTCTTTTATATTCTTGAATGGATCTCTTGCCAGTCTTTGTTGAAAGCCTTTACTGTGTGTGTTTTTTCAGCTGTCACAGGGACCAGAAGCATGAGCTGTTCTTGGTGAACTCTTCCTTCCATTGCTAAAATTCAGAAGGGAAAATATGAAAACAAAATAAAACACCTTTGTCATGCTGCAGGTTAATGGTTTGCAATACTTTCTTTTATATTCTTGAATGGATCTCTTGCCAGTCTTTGTTGAAAGCCTTTACTGTGTGTGTTTTTTCAGCTGTCACAGGGACCAGAAGCATCTGAGAATTGGCTGAAAATGAAAAGTGTGTCTAATCTAATATGGGCATACTCGTCCCTGTTGTCCATTATTGAATTTTCCCTGCCATTTCATAACTGCTGATAACTGGCACCTGGTTTCTGAGTAGAAGAACAAATGAGTAGTTGGGTAGTTCCCTTGAAAGAAAAACTAATGTTGGATTGCATGTTAGATGCTGGGGTATATGCTAAAGATAAGTGCACTGTTTCCTTACCAGGGTGAAATGGCTCGCTATCTTGAAGTCTATGGTAAAGCTCCCATTGACTTCAGTGGAATGAGGATTTCATGCAAGGTCATTCTGAAAGCTCTGCACATCATCTTGGAACCTACTGCTATTTTTATTTAATTTTCCATAAATTACTCTCAGCTATATATTTGGAAATACAAGAGGAAAAGTAAACGCATGAGTAGATTTTAGGTTATTTATTACTTTGACTATGTGCTTTTCTACAGGATCACACACAGTTCTGTCCCACCAACAAAATACACATAGTAATTTTCAGACTGATTTAGAAAATCTGACAAACAATAGACAGTCTAATTTTTCAGTGCAATGCTATGTTGGAAAAAGTACATTATTAATAAGTTTTTGTTTGAGTCAGAGCTTGTAAAGTATATTAGAAACAGAAGAAAGAACACCTGAAAGTTGATAGGAAAAAGGTCTGAATTGAAAGAAAATGTTGCATATTTGGTCCTATCATTTTATGATAGACGAAATCTCACTTTGAACATAGTAGCTTCTAATTAACTTTAAACAGAAAAGTTACACGGCAGCTAAAAGTTTAAATTACTTTGTCTACATTTCCCAACTAAATTATTAGATTAAAAGAGGTATTTTTGTGCATGTGGTCTAAATTGTAAATACTTATTATAGACGGATTTCTTACTGTGGCACATATTATACCTTGCAGATACTTGGTTACTTTGACTATGCTTTCACAGCCATCTTTACTGTTGAAATCCTGTTAAAGGTAATGAATTGTTAATTGATCCTTGTTAGCTCAAAACCAGCTTTAGCAATAATGTTTGTAACTTTTTGTTTACCTTCCAGATCCTAGGGTATGCAGATTATGTCTTCACTAGTATGTTTACATTTGAGATCATGTTGAAGGTAACAGGTTTATAAAGAAGTTTGTTTAAAAGGATTTTTCTTGTGTGTTACCTGCCAAGAAAAGGCACTTGAAGTGTTCTTCGCCTTTCCCTATACGATCAAAGCTAAACTTTTTTTAAACCAAAGGATTTTTTAATTTGACAATATCTTATAGTTTTGATTGTTATCTTTGACCTTTGGATGCATGTAGACACTACTTTTTATCATCACATCAATTTAATAATTCATTTTTACCCTTTTTTACACTTACAATTTGTCAGAAAAGGGAAAAATAATTCACTGCGCATGAGCTTTCCTCCTCCTTATTCTGGCATTTCCAAAAAAGATCATAAATCTTTTAAAGAGGTAGCATGGATTTTCTCATTTCTCTTGCTGAACTGTATTCATAGATCTAAAATAGTAGACAACTATTTTCTTGCAACAGGCCTTGCAAGATATCTTGCATTTATTTATAGTCTAAGATACTTTGCATTTTCTCTTATCTTGGGCATACATTTAATTACTCAGTAAGGCATAAATATGCTTGCTTAAATGTATTACCCATGCATGAATCAGAATTGATATTTGAATGTATAGTTTGTGTACTGATTATTAAGAGCATACACCAGTTCTACTCGGCTTTTAGTTATATGAAAATTACCCCAGCAAAGCTGCTGTAAAACTAGGGTTTATGTTTACCTGGTGCTGCCTTGGTGACAAATGAAGTCAAGAAGAATAATTGGAAATGTATAAAACACTTCTTTAGAGCTATATACATTTTATAGCCATCAGAAGATCATGAAAAGCTTCATGTAGTGAACAACAACCACAAATCACTTGCTGAATAGCCCTGACATATACCAGTGAATTTCAGGTACAGTAAAAATCCGTACATAAACTTTGCATTTCCAGCTGAGGATTAAGCATTACAAAAACTCTTCTACTAGCATTGATCATATTGGTATGTTTTTCTCACAATGCATTTTGATTAATACCAGATAAAGTAATATTTGGGCTGTTTACAAGATAAACTGTATTTTATATAGTAAACTATTTGTATGTTTGTAAATGTTTACCTACTCCTGCTTATTTGCTATTTCTTATATTTAGTAGTGTAGAGCCTGCTAAAAATTAGTAAATTAATTAATACAGTAGTTGTAAAAGGCTCTAGAGATGCTGAATGCTAGAGTAAGTGCTAAGTATCCTTATTATGTATTGTTTCATATTTCCATAGGGTTAAAGGTCCAAAGGGACTATTAGATCAGTAGTCTGAATTCCTGTATAACACAGGCCATTACAATTTACCCAGATACCCCTATATGGAGCCCAACACTTCAGTCCCTAGGGATTGAAACAGCTATGAGCCCTAGACAGAGAACAGAAGAGACCGAGAGATCACCAATGCATTGCAGTGGAAGGGAACTGATCAAGTGAGACATGCCCAGATGATCCTAGCAAATGATCCAAGTTCCATGCTGCCAAGTAAGGTGACAACCTCCTAAGGTCCTTGCTATTGTTAAATCAAAGCAATGCTGAGAGATAAGCAAAGAGAATTATACACTTGACACAGTAAAGCTGGATCAAGCTACTTGTAAAACCTCTGAACTCGAGGAACTCACTGACCTTGGTAAAAGTGATACCTTCCTTTCTGAGGCAGATAGGAATCAGTAAAATGTCTGTATCCTTTGAGCAGAAGGTTGAATCAACCTTTGTTCCCACACTTTTAGTCCTTGTTGCATTGCACCAAGAAGAGAGAGGAATTAGCCTGGTGCAAGGGGGTGTATCTAGATGTAAAGGCATACCTTAAGAAAAGGAAAATTCATACTAATGATTATGAATATCTTCTTAACATTATGCTCTGTTAGACTATGAAAGAAAATTTGTGGAAGCCCCATTGCTTGCGATTCTGAACTCAGACTCAACAAAACACTAGAATAGATGCTATAGGTACATTTGTACTTGTCCACCCACAGACCTAGTAGCTTTTTTTTATATCTATGTCTATGTTCTCCCCCTCTCCATCTCTCCATTTTCATTTTTGGTCATCTCAGCAGTAACCTCTGAAGAATCTGTATCTGGCACTTGTGAAACCGGTCACTCCTAAATCCAAGAAGTGGAAGTCCATTAGCGAGGGTCTTTTTGACTGTGGAGATCTGTTTAGGACATTTCTTAATTAGTGGAATTTTCCAGGGATGTATTTGGCCCCAATCTGGGCTGTATACATCCAGGAAGCGTGTACTGGTTCTGCAGGATTTTTTGTGGACTACTGGGAGCTAAACGGAAGCCTCTCTTCTCTATTTCCTGACAACAACTTATATTCCCTGACTGGGAAACCTCATTTTGTGTTGCTAGTCACCTTTAAATTACAGGCAGTCCCCGGGTTACGTACAAGATAGGGACTGTAGGTTTGTTCTTAAGTTGAATTTGTATGTAAGTCGGAACTGGTACATATTGTAGGGGAAACTCTAGCCAAACATTTTTTTTAGTTTTGGATTACATAGGGAAAGGTTAACTCCCCTCTAATGTTTGTTTTGCTGTCTGTTCCCCTGTTCAGAAGATTTCACATCTATTTCTGTCCCTGTGACAAACTCAGGACTAAAGGAGTAACTCATCAAATACCAAACAGCTCTGCACCATGCTTTGAGCTAATAGCTTTATTTCCACACACCACCCAGGGTTCTAGGAGGAGGGTCCTTTTTTTGCTAACACAATGAGGCCAGCACTTTGTTTGTTTTGGTGGAGTCTTTGTTTGCCCAGGGAGCCCAGCATGTATAGGGGGAGGAGGGGCGGAGAGGCTGCTTTTGTCTGCTGTTCCGCAGCCTGTTGCTCAGGGGAGGGGGCAGCCTGTTGCTGGCAGGGGGGGAGGGGGAAGGCGTGCAGGATGCGAGGCCGCGGGGGGGGGGCGGGAGCGGGCAGGGGGAGGCACTTTTCCTCTGCCCGGCAGCTCTGCGGGACCCCAGTCGGAGCCGGCCCGAGGAGGAGGAGGATCCTAGGACCCAGGTGAGCGAGCCCCGGGAATGCTGTTGCGCATGTGCGGGAGTTGCCTCACCCCGTTCGTATCTAGGGATCCGACGTAAGTCGGATCCACGTAAGTCGGGGACTGCCTGTACTGTAGAATTCTATTAAGTTCTGCACTTGATCCTGTAACAAGCTAGCACGTGTTAAGCAACGACCAATTACGTAGCATAGCTTGCCCCCTCGCTGACAAGCTATAATAAAGATCATTCAGTTTGCTCAGCAACTATGTGGATGTATGTGCAGCTTAGGCACCACTGTTTAGGGTTAGGAAAGGTTCTTTTATTAATGTGCTCTCTATGATCATGTACACCCACTGAGGACTTGCTCAGTCAAAAATGACTCCTGACTCTGTATTCTCGGTGGGATGTGTCTTGCAGTGTAATCCAGGGGTATCCTCCAGGGGAGGATAATTAGAATGTAAGACGTACATCTGCAATACCTTGCTTTACTAACATGTCTCAAACTTTGGCTATGCTTGCTTATAAGTTTGCACTACGCTTTCTGCAATGCCAAGTCCTGTTGCTATACATACAGTACAAGAGTTAACTCAGGCTTAAACATGTAGTAAACAATATGGCACAGTAACGCACCCCGCAGTTAAATTCCAGACAAAAAATAACTGCTGGAGGACTCCCAGGCAGCTGGCCTGCTTGTCTTCCTGCCACTTAAGAGGAGGACACAAAGGAAATACCCTGAGTGAGGGAATGTGTGTGTTGGAGGGGAGTGATCTGCTTCCTCATTCCTCCAGGCTTTGTTATTCCTTTGGTTAGGGATTCTCGGGGCGAAGGTTGGTTGCCGTGGTAGCGGGTGGAGGCAGAGCAGTAAGCTTGAGTATCTGGCACATTGAATTAACTGGCAAAGCCCATTCCTCATCATGAGTGCCAGATAACAAAGCTTTCATTGTACTTGTAACTTGTGCAAGCCTTTTTTAAGATGCTCACTGATGGGGCTGATCACCAGTCTGGGACAAACAATCTGCCATTTCCAGTTCAGTTTATAGCCTCTTTCCTTGGGGCCTTCAACAGAAAACCAAAAGGAAATGTGGGTCAATAACAAAAGCAATAGTCTTGTTCTTGGTGGAGACACTCTGGTAACTGAAGACCTCCCCAGCTTAGGAGTTAGGTCTGTGGGACCTTCCTGAAGCCTGCTGCTGCTAACAGAGGAGAATGTGTGCTCATCTATTTCCTGATTCCCTACCCCCTCATTTATAACCCCTAGCTTGGAACTAAGGATGTTAAGTAACAGTTAATTTACTAGTCGAGTAGTTGATGGACTTTCGATCGACTAGTCAATAAGCACTTCTGTGCTGGGGCTCTTGTACATTTCAAAGGAGGAATGGAGAACTGACTCTGGGCTGCACGAGGGTGCCTGCTTCAAAGGGTGTGTCTAGACTACATGCCTCCGTCAACGGAGGCATGTAGATTAGCCAGATCGGCAGAGGGAAATGAAGCCGCAATTAAAATAATCGCGGCTTCATTTAAATTTAAATGGCTGCCCCGCTCTGCCTATCAGCTGTTTGTCGGCAGATCGGGGCAGTCTGGACGCGACGTGCCGACAAAGAAGCCTTTCTTGATCGGCATAGGTATGCCTCGTGAAACCAGGTTTACCTGTGCCGATCAAGAAAGGCTTCTTTGTCGGCGCGTCGCGTCCCGACCGCCCGCAGATCGGGGCAGTCTGGACGCAACGTGCCGACAAAGAAGCCTTTCTTGATCGGCATAGGTATGCCTCGTGAAACCAGGTTTACCTGTGCCGATCAAGAAAGGCTTCTTTGTCGGCGCGTCGCATCCAGACTGCCCCGATCTGCCGACAAACAGCTGATCGGCAAAGCGGGGCAGCCATTTAAATTTAAATGAAGCCGTGATTATTTTAATCGCGGCTTCATTTCCCTCTGCCGATCTGGCTAATCTACATGCCTCCGTCGACGGAGGCATGTAGTTTAGACGTACCCGAAATGTACAACTGTCCCCAGCAGGAGCTCCTGTGCATTTCAAAGTGGCAGTGCAGCACAGAGTCCGGGGTCCGCAGGGGTCTCAGAGTCCCCTGCTGGCCCCAAGCTCCATGCCACATTCCCAATTTGAAATGCCGCATGAAGCCGGGGTCACCTGGGAACTCCCCAGCTGATGGCAGGTTCCGTGCAGCATTTCAACAGAACTGAGGGTCAGTTGGGGACTCCCCAGCTGACCCTGGGCTCCACACACGGCACCACTGCACAGCTGATCCTGGACTCATCTGTGCAGCACTGCTGCTTTGAAGTACCCTCTCTTCCTACCCCCTTTGCTGTCTCTGTTGAATAGAGGCAGCAAGGGGGGAGGGATCAACTCATCAACTAGTCCTTAACATCCCTACTTTGGAACCAGAGCCAATGG